TCTCCTCCATCTCTGGCCTGCACATGGCCTACTTCTACTTTGATTACCGCCGCACTGAGATGCAGACCATAACTGGCCTGTTGGCCTCTCTCATTTACCAACTTGCTATTTGCTCTGAACAGTGTCACCAAGTCCTGATGAAGTTCCGTGCAGAGAACAGGGCCAAGCTCAGCCCTACCAGGGAGCTTCTTATTGACTGCCTAGAGCAGATCCTCCAGGCTTCCACCAGTGGAGTGGTTATCATCATTGATGCTCTTGATGAGTGTCCACACTCATCAGACAATCTGAACTATTCCCTACCCTCCACAGACTTGTGTCAAGGAGCCTTGGAGGCCTACACATTCTCTTCACAAGCCGGCCTGAGGCTGACATCCAGAAGGCTATATCTGGTTTTCCTGCCCACCAGCTCAAGCTCCATGATGCTGATGCACACACTCGTGACTTGGCTACCTATGTGTCTCATGGTCTTTCTGGAGATGACTTCTCAAGCTGGCCAGAGGATATCAAGAAGCTTGCTCAGCAGAAGCTCATGTCAATGGCAAATGGCATGTATGTCAAGTGTTTCATTTTTATATTATGTTCAGTTCATTCTAATTTTGTATAAGGTTTCTCTGGGTTAATCTGCAGCTTGACATGCTGCGGAGCTGTTCTCCTGGTGATATTGAAGAGGCCTTGACCAGTCTTCCCAAGACAATTTCTCAGACATATGAACGTATCCTTTCAAGCCTTGAGTCAAACGAAGCTGTTGCAAGGCGAAGACAGCAGATGTTCCAGTGTATTGCATTTGCCAAGCGGCCACTCTCTCCTTCTGAGATTGTGGAACTCCTTGCAGTCAGCTTCTCAACCACCAGCAACTTGAACTCAAAGCTCATCCCCAGCCTTCGTGTCTCTGACCCAGAAGGCTTCCTGGTCAAGATGTGCTCTAGCTTTGTGGAGATTGTTGACAATCATGATGACATAGTCAAGCGTCCTCGGGTTGTCCAATTTGTCCATGCCTCTGCACTAGACTTTCTCATCACAGGCCAATTACCACTCTCTCTCAGATCATATCACATTGATGGTCTATCAGCACACATCACTCTGGCAAGACTGTGTCTTCTCACCCTTCTCTCTGGCAACCTATCACCATCAAGCCTTCCATTTTATGACTATGCTGTGTGGTATTGGGAAGATCACATATTTCCCGGGCAGGCTGCTCAAGCCATTGATAATCTGCTATCCCAATTTCTCCTTGTGACCACTCCTTACCACTTTTTCAAGTGGCAGAAGGCACGACCCAAACACCAGAATGGAAGGCAATCTCTTTTATATTGGGCAGCCTATCTGGGGCTTCCACGCTACATTCAAGCCATGCTCAAGGTCAAGGGAATGGAAATCAATGCTCCGGGAGGCCTCTTTGGAACACCACTGTCTGCTGCTACACACCAAGGACACCAAGATGTGGTCTTGTTACTTCTAAACCAAGGTGCAGGTAGCAGTGTTCCTGACATATATGGATGGGCACCACTACATCATGCTGCAGAACAAGGCCACATTGACATTGCGCACACTCTTCTTGAGCATAGTGCAGCTGTCAATGCACAGACTCAGGAAGGTGCGACACCGCTATATGTTGCTGCACGGAAAGGCCACGTCGAAATCGCCCGCGCTCTTCTGGAGCACAGCGCAGCCGTCGATGTGCAAACTCCCCAAGAAGGTGCGACTCCACTCCATATCGCTGCACAGAACGGCCACATCGAAATCGTGCGCGCCCTTCTGGAGCACAGCGCAGCCATCGTTGTGCAGACCAAGAAAGGTGCGACACCGTTATATGTCGCTGCAGGGAATGGCCACGTCGAAATCGTGTGCGCCCTTCTGGAGCACAGCGCAGCCGTCGATGCGCAGACTCAGAAAGGTTCGACACCGCTATATATCGCTGCACGGAACGGCCACGTCGAAGTCGTGTGCGTCCTTCTGGAGCACAGTGCAGCCGTCGATGCACAGTCCGAGGGTGGTACGACACCGCTATATATCGCCGCACAGAACGGCCATGTCGAAATTTTGTGCGCCCTTCTGGAGCACAGCGCAGCCGTCGATGCGCAGTTCCAGGACGGTTCGACACCGCTATATGTCGCTGCACAGAATGGCCACGTCGAAATCGTATGCACTCTTCTGAAGCACGGCGCAGCCGTCGATGCGCAGGCCCAAGACGGTGCAACACCACTACACATCGCTGCACATAACGGCCACGTCGAAATTGTGTGCGCCCTTCTGGAGCACAGCGCAGCCGTCGGCGTGCGGTCCCAGAAAGGTGACACACCGTTATATGGCGCTGCACAGAATGGCCACATCGAAATCGTATGCGCCCTTCTGGAGCGCAGCGCAGCCGTCGATGCGCAGACCCCGGGCGGTTCCACACCGCTATATGTTGCTGCACAGAAAGGCTACGTCGAAATTGTGTGCGCCCTTCTGGAGCACAGTGCAGCCGTCGATGCCCAGACCCAGAAAGGTGCGACACCGCTATATATCGCTGCACACAATGGCCACGTCGAAATCGTGCGCATCCTTCTGGAGCACAGCGCAGCCGTCGATGTGCAGTTCCAGGACGGCTCGACACCGCTATATGTTGCTGCAGAGAACGGCCACGTCGAAATCGTGTGCGCCCTTCTGGAGCACAGCGCAGCCGTCGATACGCAGGTGAATGGCGGTTTGACACCTCTATATGTCGCTGCACAGAACGGCCATGTCGAAATCGTGTGCGCCCTTCTGGAGCACAACGCAGCCGTCAATGCACAGACTCAGGACGGTTCGACACCGCTATATGTCGCTGCACATATCGGCCACGTCGAAATCGTGTGCGCCCTTCTGGGGCACAGCGCAGCTGTCGATGCACAGGTCCAGGACGGTTCGACACCGCTATATGCCGCCGCATTGAACGGTCACGCCGAAATCATGTGCGCCCTTCTGGAGCATGGCGCAGCCGTCGATGCGCAGACCCAAGAAGGTGCGACACCGTTATATGTCGCTGCAGAGAATGGCCACGTCGAAATCGTATGCGCCCTTCTGGAGCACAGCACAGCCGTCGATGCGCAGTTCCAGGACGGCGCGACACCGCTATATGTTGCTGCAGAGAACGGCCACGTCAGAATCGTGTCCGTCCTTCTGGAGCATGGCGCAGCTGTCGATGCGCAGATCCAGACCGGTGCGACACCGCTACATATTGCTGCATACCACGGCTACGTCGAAATCGTGCGCGTCCTTCTGGAGCACAGCGCGGCTGTCGACGCGCCGAAACAGGACGGTGCGACACCGCTACATGTCGCTGCAGATGACGGCCACGTCAACATCGTGTGCGCCCTTCTGGAGCACGGCGCAGCCGTCGATGCGCAGTTCCAGGACGGCTGGACTCCGCTATATCTCGCTGCACAGAACGGCCACGTCGAAATCGTGTGCGCCCTTCTGGAGCACGGCGCAGCCGTCGACGCGCAGAGTCAGGTTGGATGGACACCGCTACATGCCGCCGCAGAACAAGGCCATGTCAATATTGTGTGCGTTCTTCGCGAGCATGGAGCAGCTGTCGACGCGCAGGATGAGGATGACACGACCCCGCTCCATGTCGCTGCATACTATGGCCAAGCTGACATTGCACGTGCCCTTATCGAGCACGGTGCAACTGTCAACATTCAGGAAAAGCGCGGACAGACACCACCGCACATTGGCGCACAACAAGGCCACGGAGACCCGGAGTGCCAGAAGGGACAGACCCCGCTGTTCCACGCAGCCTCGAGGGGGCACATCGACGTTTGCCACGTTCTCCTCGATAACGGCGCAGACGTCACAGTCGTGGACGCCGACGGATTGCGTGCACTGGACCATGCGAAGGCGGAGGGGCACGCTGAAGTCGTGCGCCTGCTCCTCGACCGCGGTGCCGGCGCCGATGAAGATGACCCAACGCACGGCGAACCTGCGGCCCCCGACGTGCACGAACATCGCGGATAGGGCGCGTCGCGCATATGCCGTACGGCTCGTAACACGTACGTGGAGGATCGGCGAACCGGGCGAGGTTGCGGCGGTGTCGGGAGGAGACTGGCGGAGAGTACAGACGAGTGAGTGGTTCGCAAGGTCAGATACTTGTGTGGGAAGTGGGCGAAGGCGAAGAGATCTCGAGGGACGATAGACGAGTCTGGCTGTATACCTTGTATACTCGTTCGGCAGATATCTCTTATGTTCTCGGAATGAAATGCTCTGTAAGATTATGCACATAACTTGTTATTGCAGATAGAAATATTACACCTGAACACTCCATAGCTGTATACCCTACCACACTCTGTCAATCCCCGAGCCGGCATAACGTTCTTGTTGGGGCTGTTGAGATCGAGACAGAGCAGACCCTTGCAAGCGTACCCTCGGCAATCAGTCTTCATCGTCCTGCTCCTCTGCGTCGTCTTGGAGACCGTCTTATTACTGAACATTGCGACGCCTATGCCAAGTTACGTCATGAAAGATGGCCTGAGCGTGCACGGGAACTAACAACTGCGCCGTGAATGAAAAGGTTGCAGATGGAAAGGCAGTGGATTTCTACCGGTCGATGGTCTTCATGATGTGCTTGGGAATTCGCTATGTGCTTGCGCTCGAACCCGCGAATGTGCCCGACGACAAGGACGTGATGAGCAGCCAGAACGTGCCTTCATAAAAGATCTTCTTCTTGCCATACAGTGTTGGCTGCATATTGATGCTAAGATTCGGCAATGACGGGCATGCCCTGGATGACAGCGGTGTGGTGAGCGAGCTGCCCGCGGAGGATCGTACTGACAGCGCACCTCGTTAACATTGAGATCCCGGACCAGCCTACAGGTACCACGTGTCCGAGTGCATACAGCGCACACCGTACGCTGAGTCGCCAATGACATGCCCGACGATGACCCGTTCAGACCAGACCGGCTTGAAGGTATGCCCAGCTTCCTGTGGGTACAGTCATTATATACAAAGCACTGGCCAGGGAAACGGCGACGTGAGATAACTCACCAGCAGGATATTCAGTCGGAAAGGCCGACATCGTTGATGAGGAGAAGCCGAAGAATAGAGGGGGATCTCGAGTGGTTGAGAAAATGACGAGCAGGAGCGGGCAGGAGGACGAGAGCGAGTTTAAAACAGCACTACGGCGTCTGGGGTTTACTTAGCGCCATTTCGCTTCCGCGTCCCGCCCGTTACTAGCTGCGACGCGCAGGATGTTATTCTCGGTGTGTTTGATCTCTTTCATCCCACCCAGCTCCACAAGCGTGACTAACAGCCTACTCTAGAGCTAACAGAGTCGAGGTGGGAGCCATTCTCGAACGGTCAACTCGGCGTTTGCAACCGACAACGACCCATGGGCTATGCTTTTCCTTGCGCCGAGTGCTGGGACTGACGGCTGGATACGCTGTCCCTCCTCCTCTCCCTGGACTTGACCTTTGAAACTCGCTTTCAGACGAATCGCCCAGAGGATCAAGCAAAGCCCTGTCGAATAAGTGAAGGGACCTAAGCCGAACATACGCTATGTCCGCAAGCTCAAGGAGACCACGAGCCGCAACTCCTACTTTTGCAGTTTCAATGCCTCACCATTGCTTCCTACTGCATTCGAAAAACATAATTCTGAATGCAGGCCCAGGGACAAGATCGACGGTACCGTCGAATATCTCGGTGGGCGTATTCGCAATCCTCGTGCGTCTCTACAGCAAGTGCCAGAAGATGTAGACCATGGCGGTCAGGCAGTAGGTTCATTTTATCTTTCCAACCACCGCAGGCTCACGGAAACATAACTCGTCATAGATACCAAGAATCCAGAGGGTTCCGTCGCGCCGCATGAGCACTTCCGCCGTGGTGACATTTCCGGTACTGCTGGAACCCTGGGACACATCAAGAAGGGTGAACTCTCGATCGAGTATTCCTTCAGAACCATTTCCGAGCCTCCACCAGCCACCGCCAGGCCGCATCGGCCTCAAGGACCAGGAAACTCGGTACCACAAACAATACCTGGGCCTCGTTCTCAAAGAAGACACAAGGCACACTTCCATCGCCCGCAGTCGTATAATCAACTAAATCCGTCTGTCCTTCG